TTTATCCATCTTTTATACATTTTTCAGGGCAAGTGAATAATTTTACCATTGTATTCTCCATCGAAAAAATGTTGAATAAAAAAACAGCAGTTCGAAAAAAAAAAGTTGTTCGAAAGAAAAAGAAAAAAAAAGACATGAAAGAAAAAATGGAAAACAAAACAATAAAAGTGTGAAAAATAAAAAAAAAATGCATTTTGACGAGAAAATTATTGTTTAGTATGTCGTTTTTTATCTTGTTGTGCTTAATGTTTTGATGAAGTTGAGATTATTATTTGTTAGTTCATTGCCTTGAATTTTTTGCCTTATATTTAGCATTTTCCCTACCTTTTCCTAAACCCCGTTACAACCAATAAAAGACCTTTGATTTATGCATCTTGTTCTTATTAGTAGTGGAGATTTGATTTACTTGCAGGCTTGAAATATCGTGTAAATTCTGACATTGAACGTTTCTTTACCCCAAACACATTGAGTGATTTGAGTGAATCCCGGTAAGGTGTTGAGTTATGAGCATTTAGATTAATGAATGAATGGATATTACAATTGCACTTGACTTGTTCCAATTGGTGATGTTCAATTGATTGATTTCTTAACTTAAATAGTTATTATGGTCTCTACCATGCTTCCTTGAATATAAAACTTGACAAAAGAACGTTAATGAAGTTTTGACTGATTTTGTTAATCATACTTGAGGACAAACATGAGATAAGTGAGGGGGAATTTGATGAGTGTTCAGAATATTAATATTTGCTCGTTATTTCTTCGATTTTGTGGAGATATTGCTGCTGATTTGGTTGTGTTATGCATATTTTCGTGTATGTCCTTACTTTCCAGAATTAGTGATAAAACGAGCGAATTCTGTATTTTTTTATTATTTGGTCACGGCTGGAGACATGGGCACGACGCGGTCTGACGTGGCAGTTTCTAGAAGGTCCAGTCAGCGGCGGTTTCTAGAAGACTTCGTCCGCACGCCTTCTGGAAGATTGACGAGTAGAGTTGCATTAGGAGACTAGTTTAAGTTTGAATTTAAATTTAAAAACAATTTCTTTTGTATTATTTTATTATTTTCTTTGCTTATCCTTTAGGCTTTGAGAGGCTATAAATATTCACTTGGGGTAAGCCTAAACTCATCATTCGTAATACATTCTTCTTTTCTCTCTAGTTTTTATAAAAACTTTTCTTTTTACTTTTCAAGATCTTTTCATTTTTCTTATTTTCAAGTTTGATTTTTATTATACTAAGTATGACTTTTGTCAAGCTTAGCTAAAATTTTCATAAGCCGAGATCTGTCGCGATGATTCAATTCCAACGGGAGAATTGAAACGGGGGAGAATTGAAACGGTCCTTTAATATCTTCAGAATATTTCTCTCGATCTCTACGCTTATTTTTCAAAATCAAAACAGTTTTCAAAATCAAATATTGACTTTGGTCAATAGGTTGTTGCGATTAAACGTGTGGGAGGAAGATTCGACTTATAGAAAGCAATTCGACTTCCTAGGAATACACTTGGCAAGATAGCTTCGCCAAGAGGGATTTGAGATCGGAATTGACGGTTATAGAAGCAACAATCCGAGTCGATCGCCACGAACTTAAACGGTAATTTGTCTACGACAATAGATGTTGATAGAATCAATTCCCGAAGCCGGAATCAAAGATTACCTTGGGTATTCGGTATATAAGATAGAGTCACGGGGATAGCCCTCATAGACAAAGTAACCGACGTGAATCCCAAAAGAAAATCTTATTCGATTATCTAAAGTAAATTGAGTCAAAACAAAGTTTGAGGCTATTTTTATTCTCTTATTTTTTTACTTTAATTGCTTTTATTTATTTAATCGTTTTTATTACTACTTAAATCTCATTCTACCAAAATCTCCCATTTTACTATCTTTCACGTCTGACATAGACCAATCAAACATAAATTAAGAATTTTCCAAGTCTCTGTAGATTCGCCTCTACTTCTCTACGCTACGAATTTTTCTTTATTTATTATTCGAGAAGAAAGGAAATTATTTTGACATCAAAACGACAGTTGTCAATCACGGTGGTGGAAGCCTCACGTATCTTCCTAGCTGCAGTCCTTGGAAATCGCTAAACGTTCTTGTTTCGACATTACTCTTCTTGCGGAACCAACGAGCACGTCCGTGTTTCTTCTTCCTCACGCCATGTTGTGGGTGATGCCAAGAAAATGTGCCTTTGGACCCTTCTGAAACAGGGTCCTTCACATCATTATCACCATTAGATTCATCAGTAAAACAACACGTTTGGTTAATCTCTCCGTATTTATGAGCAGAACGATGACCGCCTTCGACTAACGACTCGTTTTGAAGGTTGGGATTCTTCTCATAGGAGTAAAGCTCTGCCCTTTTTCCAAACTTTTCCGATATCGTCTCGATGAGTATCGAGGGTTGTACGATGCCCCGAACAGACACCAGCCCATTTTCGGCATCTATATCGATATCATACATATCTAGATGACAAAATCAAATGACAACGATCAGAGAAGCTTCTAAAAAAGCGGTGGTCTTTTCGGGATTCAAAAGGTCTTTCATTGATAGGAAACATTCCATTGATTCTCTGCAAAATTTTCTTCACTTTCTCGGGACATGTTGAACAACACTGGATGTTCACTTTCAGAACAAACGTCTGAAAAAGAAGAAGATTCAAAAACATGTAAAACCATGAAAAAAGAAACTATGGGTATTAAACATATATGTAAAGAAGAAGAGATGAATACCGGGGCATTCAGATCATCTTCCACTGGAACCGACATTCCATAAAAATCAAGGTCTGATAGTGTATAAATGCAGAATTCAAGGAGTGAAATCGGTCATCATATTAATGGGCTAGACAGTGAATAAAATGTTTGAATAGAGTGAATTTTTTGTTGGATTTGATTCTGGTGACTCTGTGTGTGTGTGATGGTGAGCTGTCCCACTTGGTTTTGGGAACCCAAATAGCTTGATTTTTCTCCGAGTGTTCATTTTTGTCATTTTAGCTTAGACAGTGAGAATATTACAGGTTAGATCCAGATTTATTGATTAATTAAAATCGCAACATTTTGTAATGAAAATTGAAAAAGAATCGCATGTCAGGTCAATAATGTCGTGTCATTAAAATAATTAGCGGTGTTTAAATTTTAGATATAATATTATATAAAAATATAAATCCGGTATCAAACTTGAATCTAAATTGGCCTTTTACCTAAATATTATTCATTAAGAAATTATCTTCTGAATTAGCATTTATTTGAGATGATTTTTTGATTAACATCTTTCTTTTATGAGATAAGATATATCATCAACGTTTTTATGTGATAAGTTATTAAGTAATTTCTTTATTTTGTGTGAAGGTATCATTGATCAAATGTACATTTTAAATGATCATATTAAAAAAATTTAAGAGTACACTAAATAATTTAAAAATTAAAAATAATTTAAAAATTATAATAATTTAAAAAATATAATACTATAATAACAAAAAAATTACGGTATTGATAAAAAAAAATTCATGTCATCGATGATTTCTTCATGAATGAGTTTTATAGTGCAATGGTCGTTTGTGTCGTATAAAATTTCTATGTATTATTATTCTTCAAAAAGATGGGTATTGTTATTATTTTCACCATCTTGACCAACATTATATCTAACATTATAGATATTGATGTGTGTTGTCGACTTTGACGGTAATGAATGTGGAAGTGTTTGATCAACAATCCAAAGTTGAATATGAACAACTAAAATTCGAAAAATATCATTAATAAAAATTGTCATTGGTTAGATTAATTTTTATTGTACTAGTGTATGATGATCTTGTGTCAAACTTGACACATGTGAAACATAATTTGCTTAATATTGCATCAGTGACATCGATAGTGTATGTTGTAATGTTTGGTATTATTGAAAAAAAACTAGAAGAGCTCGTTCTTCCACAGCTAGTTAGAGGATAATGATGCTACGTTGGTTGAAGTCTTTTTCTTCTTTAAAGAATAGTTTTAACTCGTTTATTATTAAACGATAGATACAACTTCTAGTATTGCATGAATCATCTCATGTAGTCACTTGAAATTATCATATCAATACTTAAAAAATGATGATCGGAAATACGATCAAATCATGTCTCTCAAATTATTAACCACTAGTTGTGCTTTCTCTTCCAATCATCATTTGTCTTCCGTCATTTATCGATGTTATGAATAATACAAATCAACAACTAGTCGTTGAATAAATTATACGAAACCAAACTGACAAAACACACAATAATATAGATACCACTCAATAATTATATTATAGATAAGAATAAAAATCACATGTCATATGTCCAATGAAACACACAACAAAGATAGATTGTAAACCTTCAATCCAATGTTTAAATATAACATTTATTGGAACTACAAAATAATTTTTTTTTTAATTACCAAACACATACGAAAATTATAGTTATTAATCATATCTCTACTTCTGATTTTTGCTTAATTAATAATCTGAATTTGAAGCTAGTCTAGATATCACGATAATCTAAGTTTAAAGACGACTTATTTATTAAAGAAAATAGTTACATTAACATGTTAAATTTAAGAGTAAACAAATTTCGATTAGAAAAAAAAACAAAACTTTTAACTCCACGTTAAAAAATTGATTTGATTCCACTCATATTTTTAGGTGAGGTGTTATATCAAGAATTAATGGTTAATAAATATTATATCAATAATTTTTTTATTCGGAGTATATTTAGGTAAAAAAAATCCATTTTTCTTACGATGATGAAATGGAAATGACCTCACTAAGTCGGCAGCTGTGACAGCTGTGGTCCACATAGCCGTCACAATCTGACGGTTCAAAATAAAAACCAAAGGAATCGGACTCGGGGAAGAATCCAAGATCAAAATGGCGACACTCATTTGGCTGTTCCCAGGGGCTGGTCTGGAATTCTCATAGGCAGCGACTGCCACAGATACCAAACCCACACAGATTTATCAAATCCTAACAATTGGTTCTCATTAATCGATATTTCCCCATCTTAAAATCTTAGCCTTCCTATCTTTTTATAACCACAGCAATAGGAACGATAATTATGAGGAAATCCATGATTCTCAGGTCTAGAGACGGATAAGTGTTTGTCTCTGTAACAAAGAAGGGTTAAGAAGGCTGAGAATTTTTAGAAAACTGGGTTTCTCTCCATAAATCAATATGATGAAGCTTTGCTTGATGGCTTCTCATGGGTACCCTCAGGGCCCAGGGCTTGTTTTACACCAAGAGCAAGGCTTTAGGATCAAGGTAATTCCTTTTTTGTGTTGTTTGATGATTTGAGTTCTTGAGATGTGTTGTTTCCTATTGTTTTGTTGTGTTAAATTATTCTTTGTTTAATTATTTGCATAATTTTTAATCATGCTAACATGTATAATTTCGAGTTTTATCCAAATTCGTGCCTTGACATGTGTATATTTGATATGAGAAATTGCTGAGCTTTGCTCTCATCAATAACTTGCAATTATTATTTTTATTGCTTTGCTACTTATAATTCTTTGTTGCAGCTCTTTGTCACTCGTTCTAGTACTAAATATTTTTTGTTAAAAAATGTATTTTTAGTTATTTGTAATGGTTGCTTATTGTTTGGACGGAAGCAGGAGGGTGGATCCTTCTTTACAAGTCAGATAGTAAACCAAGACATGGTACAGATAGGCTCCTTTGATCTGAGGAGAAACCAATTCCAGGAACTGCCAAAACCAGTTACTGCACTGTGTGAGCCTAAACTGTTTATCGATGTTGATCCTACGGCACAAAAGCCTGTGATAATCAATAAACCAGGTCTGCAACTTGTTGCCTAGTTCCTTGTAATGGACTAATTATTTCTTTCACTATGTAGGAAAATAAACACAAACCAATTATTGTTCTCAGAAACGTGATAAAGAATTTGTGTTTTACTAATGAAGTTTAGTTAATATGGTAACTAACTTTTTGTTTCACCTCGGTGAGAGTTTTTTTATTTGAAACTCAGAACTTCCCCGTATGATTATGGAAGTTGATTTTAATAGGATAAAGAAGAGTTAAAAGATTTACTTGACATGTCTATGGTAGTCTTTGCAGAATGCTTATACTTTTCCTGTTTTGGTCATAGATGCTTACCAAGACACGGAACTGCTTGGATTTGGGATAGCTGAAAAGTGCAGGAGACATGAAAAAATCTTGAAGTTTCTTATGTCTGGATCAAATGAATTAGAGAAAGGGGAACTTGATTTATCTTTGCTATCTGATTTGATGGGACTTCAACCGGTGATTTTTGGCATGCATCAACAGCCTTTTGATTCTTATCTAATACATCCAATTAGCAAACTTGATCCCCAGATGCCTCTCCCAGACTTTTTTGGAGAAATAGTGCACAATTCGAAGGTTACAGTTAACCCAGATGGTCAAGTTGTGCTTACAGCTTGTGGGACTGAGATGAAAGACATCCTTTCATTCATTTCTGAATTTTACTTATCAAGCAACTCAACTAAGTGGAGAAAGCAATCGCAAGTGGTCCCATACTTCGATAGGTATTGAAACGAACACTGACTTCCTTTCGAGTACAAACAAATAAATCTCGTTATGAGTAGCACTATATTGCAGTATTTTGACTATTATTGAAATGTAAACATATGATGAAAATTTTCTACCGTCATTGTTTGCATTTTTTATGTTAATACTTGATGATCTTAAACGGCTTATGATCGATTGACTTGTGCTTCTGGTTTGAGATTAACAAAATTTGCTGCTCAGGTTTAGTCTTATTGGAATGTAAAACTATAAGTTGATTTCAATGTTTGAAAGGCATCTGATGCTAAACTCTCTTACCTACCAGGAAACGGATCATGAAAGCACGTGCTGGTACTAACCTGTCTTCTCCACAGGGTGAAGTTGCAAGCATTGCACCTCTGAAGAGGTATGTGTTTGATAATCATTTTCAATAATATTTCTGTATGATTCTGTGGAATTTGTCTGGTTGACATAATTGGAATTTATCTTGGTTTGGTATCTTGAAATATATGCATACAATTTTTATGATGGGATATGACTTGTGAATTACTATTATTCATTTATATTAATTGCAGTTCAGACCATAGCAATGGAATGGACACCAGAAATATATAGCAACGGAAATAGAAATTATACAAGGTGCTAAACGAAAAATATGTGCATAAAAGAACCGATCAATGAATATGCTAAAAGTGGCAGGTCTGACCTACATATCTTCTGACTTGGCTATTGTCCACTGGTTATCGGACCTAAAAGATGATTTCTTCTTATGCATGGTGAAAATGTGAACTTCTACAAAAACCATAGTTTTGGCACTTTCTATGTAAATCTTTTGTTCAGAATGTTTTTCTGTTTCTCGTATGCTCATGCACCTCATTATTGACAGTCTTGAGAAAATCAAGGTGAAGCCATCATCAAAGAAGACCTCCAAGAAGTTAGGTGGGGAGAGAGATCTGTACAAGAAGAACTATTTCCATGCATGTGAATGCCTTCTTTCCTTGATGGTTGATAGGAGACAGCATGGCAGAACAGCAATTCTTTCCCTTAAGAAATCCGGTCCTGAACTCCCTCAGCTCTTGACCCAATTCTCTGCCAGCATTGCTGGGACTGGTCTCGCTGTTCTTTTCTCTGTTATTTGTAAGGTAGCTTGTGGGGGAGTTCCATTTGGTACATCTAAACTATTTAGCACTGGCCTCGCCTTCGGGCTAGTTTGGTTCTCACAGGCAGTTAACCGACTGAGGGACACAGTCGTACATATCAGCAAGAATAATAGCAAGCTGGATCTGAAGGAAGAGGAGATGATTAAGAGAGTGGAGAAAAGTGTTAATCAAATCTATTTCAGAGCTGCGACGGTGATGGCTGTAGCAGTGCTGAGGTTTGTATGAACTTTGGCTTCTAGAGCTGCGGCATTGATCTTGGACTTCAATATCTGAAGAACAGAGGCGGTTGGGGGGCAACAATAGAAACTCTGGCTTCTGTGCTATCCATTGTGGTCTTATGATGGCCTTGAGAACGTATGAGAAGGATCTAATCTCTGCAGCTTATGTATAGAAATCGATTAAGTTGTAAATGGAGAGGTCAGTGCCAAAGAGGAGGGTTAGTAGTACTACTGTCTTAGGGGCAAAAAGAACCATAACTTCCGTGTTAATTTAACTACAATTTTGTCTCTGTACTTGAAGCTATCTTCAACTACTATAATAATTGGTATTTTGATTTGTGGTAATCAATGCTGTGCACAAGACATTTATGTTATTTTCACTTGGGTGCGAGTGTCAGATACGAAAGTGTATTCGACATGAATATATGGTTATATTTTCTGAGATTTTCATGCATATGGAAGATCTTTGGAGGTCATATATTTATATCCATGAATTAAATTGTTGCTTAATTGAAACCCAACCGCCTAAAATGCATACTAGGGGCCATGAATGTTATAGCATACCTGCTTCAAGAGGCATAGGCCATGAATGTTAACAGCAACAACTTTATTCAGAAAACACACAATAGAGGACACACCAACCTGCAGAAGTTTTTTTCCCCTTTATGTCAATAGAGGCAAACATCCATCAGTGATATACCTGAGCAGCAATTAGTAGCATATCAATCTGTCAGACAACTCGAATCTGTTCTTTAGTCTGTTCCATGGGTCCATCAAGAGCGGACACAACCAGAATTGCACTGTCCATTTGACACCGGCAATCATATTCTGCAGAACAGGTTATAGTTAGGCCATTGCTCATAAGATATTTGAGCTTTATAGAGTCGTGCTATGTTAAAGTTAACGGCTTTACTTCAACATGATCAAGATGTCCATGGCAGTCTACATGTGCATAGTGTCGTTTGTGTCATACTCCACACGAGCATGCAAAATCAATAGTGTGATAACATTGCAGTGGAAACAAATCTCAAGAGAAAACAAAAGTATACCAACCAGTTCTATTTTAATTCTTCCTACGTTCTCCATAGGGTGACTGTTAATTTCATCATAGAAATCTTGTTCATGTTGAAGTAAGCCCTTAACTTTAACTCAATCCACCATTCTTGAACCCTTATATTTTAGAGAGAGTCCAAATTCAAAGAAAATATACGAGTGTATGTGTGATCAAAGTACATATTTGGAAATATAGCTAATCTTCAATTTGATGGAATTAGATTTGAATTCGAAGGTGGGAAATAGAAACCTTAAATCCTAAAATTCATCATATGTTTGTGCATGTTCATTTTAAGATATGATTATGAATTTAGTGTTGGATTGTGTCATTAACGTGCTTAAAATGTGTATTTAAAGTTCAATGAGAAATTCTAAAGCTAAGAAAAAAGAAAATATTATCGAATAATTGATATATATGAGGCATAAAGAATAATTGATAATCGTATAATTCATAATTGAATAATATGTTAAAATATGAAATTCAGGTTTGTATCGAACTTTTGGCTATTAGATGAAAAGTCGAAATAAATTCATATGTATATCATATATAAGTTTCTATGTTTGATATGATCTTAGCACGATAGCTTGTTAAATTGGAAATAAGTTGTGAAAACTGACTTTAAACTAAGGTTCGAATAGCATGTAATCGACAAAGTATGTTTATGTGTATTGCTATGAAATTCAACGCTCCAATGTGTTCTTATCATGTTAGCCTATTGATATTATGTGGAAGTGATAATTCGATGCAAGTTAATTATGTGAGTCGATGGATAGATAAGTGAAAATGTAATTGTATTGTTACCTTGGTTAACTTTGCTAAATATTAGCTATAATTAACATGTCACATGATCTATATGTTATATGAGATTGATTATTTTGGAAGAGAAAAGAAAGATATTGTAGTCTTTTATAAACCCACGGGTCATGGAAAGACGAGGGAATGGCACTTAGGACTTTAGTTTTATGTAAGTGGGAATGAGATGTTAAATTCGTATATGTCAATGGAACTGAGATGTTAAAATTGTGTATTCATAAACATTAGATTATCATAAGCCAAGATAAGTGAATTTATGATAATCTAAGTTAAATATGTTAAATAAGGTCAATTTATCAATTAACGATCATGACAGACCAAACATCTAAAAGTGTCAGTTAATGGTTTCTTTTAACCATCATGACAAACCGGATATCTAAAAGTGTAGAGGACATTAAGTATATATTTGAAGCAAAAAATTCTTTAACACAAAAAATTAATATAAGGTATAATTTAGATATTTATTTTTTGATTAAACTGAAAATAATTGATTATGACGCGCATAATACCGAGTTTACATGACACTGTTCCACGGTACAATTATTTTAGATGACAATAACATCTCTTCACTTGTGATTTCTGGGTGCAAATGGGGAAAAAACATGCTGACTGCGTACGAACCACCGGAAATTGAATGAAAATAATTTCAGTAACACCCCGCATTTCGTATCTAACAATCTTTTCAGTAATTCTACAACACAGGATATTTCCAACTGATTGCTCTACCTAATTCTCCATTCTGCAATCAATATGATGGAAAGAACCAGTAATAAACCGGAACGGGAGCTTCTTAGTTCAGTACTTTCGATACTACTACACCCGCACCAACAGTTCTACCTCCTTCCCTCAAGGCAAACCTGTCCTATTACATTCATGTCGAGCTACATTTTAGGACTTGTTTTCTAAGCTTTCAAGAGTTTAAGAACAAGAGGGAAGAAAACCATCTTCCTGATATAATAATGTGTCATAACAGAGACAGGAATATTGTAGCATACCTGCTTCAAGAGGCGTGGGTGAGATCGGCTCAAAAGTTGCAGTGACATTGTCTCCTGGCAGAACCATCTTAACACTTTCGGGTAATTCCACTTTTCCAGTGACATCTACCGTCCTCTGATAAAACTGAGGCCTGTAATTTGATTCAAAGGCTGTATGGCGTCCACCTTCATCTTTCGTGACGACGTATATCTCTGCCTCAAACCTTTTGTATGTCTTCAAGCTTCCAGGTTTGGCAATTACCTAAACAGTTGGACGAAATCAGATGGCTACGTTCTCATTTTCACACATCATGCTCAACAAAACAAATTTGCCATCAATATATATGTAAATATATTCTTTCACAAGCTAATAATGAACATTACTGAAAAAAACTATTTTCTCTCCTTTTCTACATAAAATATTCCTCAGCATGAAAAATTAATCACTTCAAAAAGTTCTATTTGTTGCTAAAGAACTAAGAGGATTTAAAGCAAAGTTTAGTTGGTGCCATTTACCATTCCACGTTGCACATCCTCTCTTTTTAGGCCACGAAGAAGAAGTCCGACATGTCACCAGCCTAGCAGTAAGAAGAATTCCAACGTGCAAGTCCAACATTCTCACACGCATAAATATAAAAATCAACACCAAATGTAGAAGAATCTATAACAGTTCACTTACCTGTCCTTAATCCAAGATCTTCTTGAACATCTCAACCACAGTAACTGTAGTTTTACGAGGGGCACCGTGAAGAAGAAAACTTGATTTTAAAAATAACAATTAAAGATATTTTACTAATATAAATCAACAGAACACTTCAACAAACAACCCTTAACAAGCTGTCTTACTCAGAATAAGAATTCCAGAATACTATAAGTCCAACAAATTAATCTCAAGCAAATGTGTATATACTTCTTAGAAAATGAACAAAAATATCAGTATACAAATATACCTGTCTTAACCCCAAAATTTCAACTTCTTCACCAACTTTAATGTTCCCTGCTTCAACACGACCAGTTGCAACAGTTTCACGTCCCTTCCAGTAACAAGTCAAAATCATCAGAGCTAAATTAAGAATTTTAACTCCAAAAATCAGTTTCTGGCATGCAATAGTAACAAAATTCTATGACATTTACTCCAAAAAAATTCTCACGTATGCAATATAATGGAATTTTACTCAAAAATACAGAGGGGAACAGATATTATTGCAATTCCAACAAATGAAACTGTGCAAGTAACATTATCATATTTTTAAATGAAAAACTAACATTTCCAAGCATTATGCCCCATGTCTTCATCCTAACATGAGATAGAAAAAGGGAAATAACATTGTAACCACAACTTAGTTACTTGACATTTAATTCAATCCTAAAGGAGTTTGGATGGCTAAAAAGGAGAAGAAAAGACCGATACAGACAAATATGATAACCAAAGTCATAAAAAATAGCTTCTACAACAACTGATTCAGCAAAACCAAAAGAAATAACTAGTAGTAAGGAAAGAAAATGCACAGCACACTAACTGAATTGAGAAAACATCTTCAATTGGCATCAGGAAAGGTTTGTCAAGTTGGCGCACAGGGTCAGGAATGTACTGATCTACAGCCTCCATTAGTTTCAAAATTGCAATTTTGCCTATTTCCTCATTTGTATCCTGTAAAGCAGACAATGCTGATCCCCGAATGATAGGTATTTCATCCCCAGGAAACTTGTAGAAGCTAAGCAGCTCTGTTGCAAACATAGATTTATGTGAATTAGTTCCAAGAGGCCAAAACAATGAACAAGCAAGAATAACACAAAAGGTTACTTACGACGAAGCTCCATCTCCACAAGCTCCAAAAGCTCTGGATCATCAACAGCGTCAACTTTATTCAGGAAACACACAAGAGAAGGCACACCAACCTGCAGAAGAAAAACATTTTATATGTAAATAATTAGCTTTCTTCTGAAACCACAGGCAAACATCCATGACAAATAAATTCAAGCAGCTATTAGTAGTGTAACCACCTGTCGAGCAAGTAGAATATGTTCCTTAGTCTGCGGCATAGACCCATCAGGTGCAGACACAACCAGAATACCACCATCCATTTGAGCAGCACCAGTGATCATATTCTGCAGAACAGGTTATAAATAGGCCACTGTTCATAAGATGTTTGACAGTTACAATCGTGGTGCATTAATAAACAAAAATGAAACAATGATTCAAGACGGTTAATATCAGCATCTAAGTTAGTGATAATGGATAAAACGAGCAGAAGTAATATTGAAGTTGGAATAACAGAACATATAGAAATTTTGTGTAACATTTCCAGCAAGGTTATGTAGCAAAAGATTCAGAAAACATAATTCCATTTACCATATTAAGTTAACGGCTTACTTTAACGTAATCAGCATGTCCGGGATAGTCTACATGAGCATAATGACGTTTCACTGTCTCATACTCTACATGAGCCTGCAAAATGATATCAAGTGTAATAACATTGCAAGGGCATAAAAATTCAAGAGGGCAACTGCATTAACCTATTCAAGAGAAAACAAAAATTTACCAACAGTTGCGATTGTAATTCCTCTCTTCTTCTCCTCAGGGGCCTTGTCAATTTCATCAAAGGCCACAGCCTTGGCTTTACCTTCATCTGCCAACACCTATTCACAGAATTCCGAAACTATCATCAGATCACTATTGTAAAACTAATAACTGTTCATAACTATTCCAAAATTGATACGATCTATGGAGAGAACTATTAAGCACATCCATAACCAACCTTGGTTATAGCTGCAGTTAGTGTGGTCTTCCCATGATCAACATGCCCAATCGTTCCTACATTAACATGAAGTTTCCTGGAAAAGAAAACGATTTCAACGGTTAAAACGGAAACCCGATCTCTATCTCTCTTCTTTATACCCGCCATTAAACCATTAAAAAAATCATTTTTTTCATTCAAACTGAAAAACCAAAAAAGGAAAAGGAAACGACTTTTCTATTTTTGAAGTCACAAAATTTAACATCTAAACCCAAAAAAAAAAAACCCCTCAGCCCCCCGCGGGAAAAAATGTTGAAAGTTGAAAGTAACAAAGAGAAAGAGATCTAATTTATTTGGCAAAAAAAGAAAGGAAGAGAACTGACGTGCGAGTAAACGTAACCATGAATCTCCACCAAGGATTAGCGTTAGCTGGAAACGATGCCTCATTTCCAGAGAGAAATGGGAGACTGAGAAGTGGGAAGAAGAGATGTAGCTACGAGTTGGGGTGATTTATGAGTTCACCAATAAAATTCGATAAAAATTTAATTTAGATTAACTCAATTCTAACTCTACTCGACTCCTTAACAAATTGAATCGAGCAAAATTCGATTCGATAAGTTAGAGCTCATAATTTTTTTTAATAATTCTTTAAAAAAATTATTTTATTAAAAAAATTATTAATTTATTAATAAATAATTAAAAATATGATAAATTAATAATTTTTAATAAATAATAAAAAAATAGTAAATATTAATTAATATTTTACTATACTAAAAAATCAAACCCTATTTATTATTATAATGTATTTATAAATTGTTACTTTGAAAATGCTTAGTACATTCTTTTGATCAATTTTTTTGTTAAATTTATTAATTTATATTTATATTAAGATATGTATAGTGTATTAGTAAATTTTACTATAATTAAGAAAATAAAGTAAAAATGTTGGTATTTTAATGAGCAACGAGACAAGCATCGAGCTTAACAAGCAACGAAGCGAACTACGAGCATCGAGCTTAATGAGCAACGAGCATCGAGATTAATGAGCAACGAGCATCGAACTTAACAAGCAACGAGTCGAGCAATAAGTTATTTTAACGAGCACGAGTCGAGCAAAATTTTAAAGAGTTTAACAAGCAAATAAAAAATTTTAACGAGTACGAATCGAGCATAACCTAATTCACGACCGACTCACTCGATAAACACTACTAGCCACGAAAGTAGCAGTATAATGGGGAAGAGAGTGACAAAAGGCTCCTCGAATTAGAGTTCCGAAGGATACCAGCAGCCATTTTGAATCCCTTTAGACTTTGATCTGCTGTTAGAAAACGCGAATGTTAGTACAGCGAGTGGCGCTGGACAGATGGAGGATTTTGTTGCTGCCTGGAGAAGGGTTTTAGAGTGATTTAATAACAAAATGGCTCCTGGCCCAATAATCTCATATCAATATGTTTTTCTTGGCCAAAAATGAACTTGACCTTGCTCGACTCTAATCTATTCGTCTGTAAAACATCTTAAGATCTGATCGATATGAAATTTTGTTCAATAATAAAAATATATTAAATCTTAAATTTGTAACTGTCAAATTTGTACATGGCAGAGATAGGAACCATAAGGTTTAATGGAGTTATTAACGGCTCCTGTGCATCGGTGTTTAAAAAGGCGCAACTGAGACACGCCTAGGTGTTAAGGCGAGGCAAGGGTGAAGCGCCTAATTAAATCTAGGCAAGGCAATTTCAATGGAACGCAGTAAGGCAAGCTGAGGCATGGAGGTTCAATTTTTTTTTTGTTGTTTCGTCTTTTTTAGTTAATTTTTGTGCTAACACTATGTGCATAAGCTATTGTGAAGAAGATAATAACTGGTAATATGTTGCTACATTTTAGTTGTTACCTCTCCTTTCTCTTAATATCCTCCAACTTGGTTTGTATATATTTATGTACATGCATACATACATACACACATCAATCCATTGTTTCCATCTGTGGGTGAATTCCAAACATTGAGGGCCTAATGCTTTCTTTTCTGCTCATTTTTTATCTACAGTTGATGCTATACGCTCATATGCTTTGCTGTTTGTAGGTGGGTAAGCAAAGGGATTGGGGAAAAAACACAGTTCCTCTGTCATAGGTGTCGCTTGGCATCCTAATAATGCGCGTGTTTTCCCACTTCGCTGCATTTTGTATTTTTTTTCCAATTCTTGGTGTAGTTATATGGTGACTTTTTTATTCAACTTTATTCTATGAAGTGGAAAGTTAGCTTATGATAGGATTCATCCATCTTCATGTATTAAGGGGTCTGGTTTGACTCCCATGGTATTACAATGAGAAGAAAGAATTCAGGGAGAAGAATTTACAAAACTAAAGATGTTTAGGTAGAAACCTGACGAGATTAGAAGTCTGTTTTAATTTGTATTTTATGATCAGTGTTTAGGAGATAAGTATTTTGTAGATAAGAGTTTAGGAAAAAAGAAACCTAGTAAGACTCTAGTTTGTAACACCCATCCAATTTTATCAAGTTGTGTTTACATTGCATGAACTGTTAGTTTTTGCTTGACTATACAACTAGAAAAAAACATGTATGTATCTTTTATTTTAAAAAATGCGCCTTACTTCAACAAGGCACGCACCTTGCTCCTCATGCCTTGCGTCTTGGTTATAAAACCCCCATTGCTTTAGTGTGCCTTGCGCCCTTTTTAACACTGCTGTGCATTGGCTCCGATGATGCTGGAACTGGTGTCCTCCATGGTCCAGTTATCATGCTTGCTCTCGTGGTAGAGCACGATGTTCTTGCCATGGACTGTGCGATCAAAGACACCTACTAAATGACTTCTCTACTTGGAACGTTAAACGGATAGGGACATCCATAATTTACAACAAAAGGGAAGAAAAAAACTACTAAACACTTTCCACCGCATCCCCAGAAAGAAAGAAAGCTTATATTGTCTTCCCCTGTTGAAACACATTGGAGAGTCTACTTCTGAAACAGATATCAAGCAGGTGGCAGCTCCAGGGCAAAAGCAAAATGAATTATCAATGCACTTTTTAGCTCTGAAAATGCATTTACTTAAATGTACAAATGCAGCTCAACGCTCAAGCGACACAGTATAAACGAAAACACCAAGAAAAAGAATACAACTGGTGAATTCTGCTTAGTAAAGTGCTTCTATGTTCATCTTAAAATCAGGAGTAACCAAATCAATATAGTTCAAACAGATCCACATTGACTATATAATTCGATTGTAGTTGCTGTAAACAAAATGCATAAAATGCAAGAGGTAATTGGAAAGCAACTCCCAAATGACACTTTCAACTAGATTCTCCTACAATGTGATCTCGAGCAAAGGCTAATGCAAATGTTGTCCCAAAAGAAACCCTTGAATAGGAGGGTGACAGCAGAATATGACATCTAACTTCCATTAGAGCCCTAATACAAGCATCAAAGAGAACGGATAGGAGTGAAGGCCAAGTGCTTCTCAAATGATGCAGCTATTAGATTTAGAAACCCAATATTCAAGATCACGGGTCACGGCAATATGTTAATATCAAGGCTAGTAAAATGGCCATAACTAGAGCAGTTTAATATGTACATAGATGCTTCAATTTCATTTCAATCAAGTGTTTTAAAAGTACACCAATCATATAAGATATTTGCATTTCAAACGAAAAGTGAAATGAATACAAGGAAAACGAAACAGCAGAATGCAATAAATTCTGAGGAATATTTCTTTTATGAAACTTTACGTTTTTCATCAAGCTTTAACCGGTTCATCATCATCTTCAATATCCCAGTTCAAATCTTCATCTTCTTCAGCAGTACTCAGTCGCTTTCTCAGCTCAGTTCTATTGGTGGAGCTCGGGCTCCCATCATGAGTTCCTTTCTTATCATCAATGCTGCTGAGATCCTCAATTTCATCCCACTCAAGATCCTCCTCCTCCTCAGCCATTGAAGGATGGCTTGAAACCACTGAAAAGTCACTGTCTTTACCATTGCCACTACTAGGTTTAAGCTCCTCATTCTTGCCCTTCCCTTCAGAATCTACTTTCTCAACAGATTTCGCCACTGAATCATCCTTCCAATGGTCCTCCTCCTTCTTCAAATAAACTTTCTCAGACACCACATTTCCACCACTTGATTCATCATCATTTCCATTCCTTTCCACTCGTGGTTCCTCGACCGGATTCTTTTCCTTTACCTTCTTAACAACTTGATCCTTACTCTCCAATACAACACCTTTTTCAGCTTTCTCTTCCACAGTTTTATTCTCCGAAAAATCACCTTTTTCTGCCTTCTCTTCCACAGTTCCATCTTTTTCCTTCTTCTCCACATCTTCTTGCCTCTTTAAAGTCGCCTTGGGCATTACATTTCTCTCGTCCACCTCTTCTTCATCCTCATCAACATCCCAACTCAACTCCTCCTCCTCTTCCCTTGAAATTGCTCTCTTAACAAGCTTAACCCTCGCATCCTCAGCTTGCTTAAGCTTAAAAACCCTATAAAAATACCTACACCAAAAAGTCTCGTGATCAACCCCATTCGAAACACCAACAATCCTTTTATAAACACTCCCTATCTCTCCATTCTCTTCCATCAATCTCTCCATCTCTTCCTTCTTCTCTACCAAATCAAACCCAGATTTACACTTTTTATAATCCTCCAAATCCTCTGGTTCTTCAATATAAGTATTAATATCTCCTTGAATTGCCCTTACTTGAGCATCGAACCGACTGTACCGATTCGAGTTCAAGCTCCGCTGAGCAATCTGATTTTTGTCCTTGCTATCGGAGGAAGAGTAATCGGATTCGTTATCGGCAGCTAGTATTGCCTCCTTGCCTTGGTTGATGATCTGGGTCGTACCCTTTATCACTGTGTTCCCGAACTCATCAATGACTTGCCCTACGTTCCCTAACGAGCCCTGAGCTACCTCGATTTCCTTTTTGAGACCCATCCCGAATTCTTCGAGATCGCGACGGTAAGTTTCGATTACGAATTCGGATCTGGTTGCTATCGTTTGGAAAAGACCACCGAAGCTCCAGCCGGTAGGGTTAGGGTCGGGATCTGACAGTTTGGGGGAGGAATCAGGGGTGGGGTATTCAGCTCTGGAAGTATCGGAATCGGGTTGGAGTTGGGGTTTAGGAGGATCTGGATCATCGGCGAAAACTGATTTGAAGAAATCCATGATGAAAAATCTGTGTTAAGAATCGACTGAGATTTGGGGGATTATTTTCAACGAAATACGAAAAAGAAAGGGAAATGAAAATTATGGGAAAATATCAAAGATGTTTGTTAATTTTATGTTTCTGAATATCTGACACGATAATGGAACCAGGCTATTTGACGAGACCAATTTTCTTTAATATTTCTTTTTTTTTGATATTGTTTGATTAATATTTCTCGAAGTAACACTTTTTCTGTTGAGTTAGCGAAAGGCGCGTCTTCAGGGACGCGCTTTACCCGTGTTTTCGTTGAGTTGAGGAAGGCGCATCCCCAGGGACGCGCCTTCGCTGACTCGACTGCCACGTGTAGAAAGCGCATCCCCGGGGACGCGCCTTCCATTAAATACCATAAATGCCTCCATCCGTTTTCCCTAACTATCCCTCCTCCTCCCCTATATAAACCCCCCTCAACCCTCCCTCATTCTTCACACCAAAATCATATTCTCCTCTCTTATATAACTCAAATTCTCCAACTATTTGAGTTTTAAATTTGTTATTAGTGGTAAGAAATTTATTTTTATGTTAGTATTTTTTTAAATAGTTATTATATTTTATATTAATATATTTATGTGAATATTATTTTTTTATTAAAATAATATTTATATAATTATTATTTATTTAGAATTATTAATTTTTTTTGTTAATTATATTGTTTTGTCTACAGTTATAATGGAAAACGAAATGCTGTTGCGATTGGATATTTATCATATCTCCAGACATTTTAGCGATATGGTAATATTTTTTATAATTAATGTTAATATTTAAATTTATTTTTATTTTAAAGTTATTATGAATTTATATTATTTTTTTATTTTTTATAATGTATATTATTTAGGATACTGATCGTATTTTAGAGACTTTTATTAAAAATCCACGTATACCGACACCGGAACGTATTTTGTCATATTTGGCTTCTGCCGGGTTCGGGTATATTGCAACAATTATAGGCGGTTGCAAACTCGAATCTATCCTAATTTCTGCACTAATTGAGAGGTGGAGGCCCGAGACACACACTTTTCACCTTCCATGTGGAGAGGCCACAATTACATTGGAGGATGTCTCTATGCATCTGGGGCTTCCCGTCGACGGAAATATGATGTGTGGTATGGCGGATGGTGATTGGCAATCAATGTGTATTGATTATCTTGGAGCTGCTCCGCCAGAGTTTAATGGAGGTAGAATAGCTTTATCTTGGTTGAAAGCTAATTTTGAGGTTTTAAATGAAAATGCTTCAGATGATCAAGCAAAGGCATGTGCTCGGGCATATATTTTACGAATAATTGGAGGAATATTGATGCCCGACAAATCTCGCAACCAGGTGCATTGTATGTGGTTGCGGCATCTGATCGATTTTGATGAAGCTGTAAGATATAGTTGGGACGCTGCAGTTTTGGCATTTCTCTTTAGAGAAATGTGTCGGGCGACGAATTATAAGAAAACTGCTATCGGTGGATGTCTTCTGCTTCTACAATCATGGGTGTGGTTCCGCATGCCTTTCTTATGCCCGATCGTGAATGAACCATACGTATTCCCCCTTATTGTTGAGGTAATTTTCGAACTAAATTTTGATTTAAATATTTTTAATTAAATAGGGTTATATTTAGTTTATATTATAATTCATAGGTGGTCGATGAAAAGAAAGGACCATAAAAGTATACCTACTGGGTTAGAGGAAATTCGTTTACTTATTGATACGAAAGCTGGGTCTGAGGTATGTTTTTAAATTTGTTTAATTATTAATATTTTAATTTAAAATGCTAGATATAATTAGAATATTTTATTTATTTGAATTGTATATTTATATTTCAATTTCAGTGGATATCTTATGCGAGCGATGAAGTGAAAGCTTGCATCCCACCCCACCTTAGTGGGTCATTAGAGGTATAGATATCGGTTATACCTCTTATATGTTATGCTATTATTGAGTGGCATCCAGTTGATCGCGTGCTCCGTCAGTATGGTTGTACGCAATATATTCATGGAGCACCTAGGAATTTAGACGACGTGCATAACATAGATAGACGAGGAAAGAAAGATGTTAACTGGGTGGTGAGACACAGAGATTGGATTGCGCTTTGGGAGAACCGATATACACTGTTGGCCCCTCGACAATATTACGCTGAAACTGGTCATATGGTTACGGATAACTATATGGACTGGTTTAATGAAAATGGGAAGTTGTTTCTACTTTCGGCGGAAGCACGAGGGGTTAACATTCCTAGGCGCCGAGAAAGACGTCAACCGTCTCAATATCATCGTCCCCCGATGCGTGGACGGAGAGAAGGCGCTACCGGTTCTGCATCAGTCCCCACCACAACATCCTTATTCGTCAATGCCGCAGGGGTACATGCCCAGCCCTCCACTTCATATGCCAAGCCTACTAGTTTATATGTCATCTCCGCAGGGTTACATTCCGAGCCCGCAGGGTTACATTCCGAGCCCGCAGGGTTACATTCCTAGCCCGCCAGGTTACATGCCTAGCCCGTAGGGTTTTATACCATATGGAGGTGTATATACGACTATGTTTAATGATCCAACATATGGTTCATATGCATCTTATTTGGCTGGTGGTACTTCTCCGCAGACACCTTAAAGGGGGAGCGCCATTTACCAGTCACGACGTTGGTTAAAACGACTTATTTTCGTTTGGGTCAACTCTTTGCAAAGCTCGGTGGACAAGCTCTTACTTGGATGCAAAACGGACATATTTATCACCCAAGACTAGTAGTTGATTTACAGAAAAAAGTGGCTGCATCAAATGAGATGTTAGTTACAAATTTTTCTCGCACCCGTGAATTGTTTCGTGTAACCGAAATGCCACGTCCGCTGCAAGGGATTGAAGCTAACTCTTTCAGAGTTAATCTGCAAGAGAGGTGGTGCGATTGTGGTTTCTTTCAAGCACTCAAATATCCATGCTCTCATGTCATTGCTGCTTGCTCACATTCGCATTTGGACTACAAAAATTATGTTGATCCCGTATACCAACTTTCACAAGTATTCAAGGTATATGAATTTGAGTTTCCGCCCATAGGAAACGAAAGAGACCCAAATGAGATTCAAACTTAGCTTACAATTGTACCAGATCCATTGCTATTGAGGGACTCAGGTCGTCCAAAATCTACTAGAATACATTGTGATATGGATATTCGGGAGAAGTCAACAGAACAAAAACGATGTGGGCATTGTAGAACATCGGGCACAATAGAAAAAAATGTCCAGCTCTGTTATCATCATATAACCGTTAACTCTTATGTAATTAATTGTATTTAAATGAATGTTTTGTTTCTAATAATTTAATGTTATTGCATTTATATAATTTGTCAATGTATGTACACCTAAATAATTTTTTTAACTTTTAAATACATAAATATTTTTAATATATTTATTTAATATAATAATTAATATTATTAGTTATAATTATTTTTAAAATATAATAATAATTTCACCTTCTAAGTAGAGAAAAATATTAAATTAAACAAATTAAAAGTTATTAAAAAATTTATGTATACGATGACACATTTCATGTTCTGATTGGAATATTAAATTTATTAAATTAAATTTTCAATAAGACTAATTTCATAAAATATGTAAGTCTTGAAGATTAAATATGTAATTATACTAATTTATTAACTTATGCATCAATATTTTCGTTAAATATTGATATGAGATGACTAGATTGATAACATTTAAATAATTAACTGATAAAATTAATAGATCGATAATCAAAATCAAAAATAATAATATAACCATATGTGTAATATTATAATTTCATACATTTTTCCTATAACTACAATAAAGTCAAAACTGGTTTTCATATATTGTTATATCATATTAATGTAGATAATTCACTCTACCTTTAACACTCATTAACAAAATACATTTGATAATTCTTACATTATAATCGAAACATTTTACATAATATATTATTAATTTATAATAATAATAATAATAAAATATTTATTATTAAACAAAATACGTGGCAGTCGAGCTCAACAGAAATGGTGCTACTTTGGGAAATATTAATCAAACGGTGTCAGAAAAAGAATATTAAAGAAAATTGGTGTCAGTTATGTCAAATAGCCAATGGAACTATGTTAAAATGAGAAAATTAATCATTCTATTTAATTTTGCATGATCTGAGTTCATAATATTATATAAGAGAGACGGAGCTATAAGAAGAATAATTTATTTAAATATTTAATTTAAAATTTTAAAGGAGATAAAAATATAATTTTATTTAAATCTAAATTGAAAAGATTAAAACTAAAAGGATTATAACCATAGCTAAAATTATGTAAAAGGACAACTTACTTAAGTTGACCTTTGAAGTTGTTCTCCAATATCATTTCATTATTCCGATAAATTATTTGATCTAATTTGTTCTTACAATTTTCAATTCTGATGTACTCAATTTCTTTTTGTTATAGAAATTTTATGTAACAGTCTAACAACGTACCATTTAACATATAATTTAAAACTAAAAAAAATAAGTTTTTTTAATAAATAATTAAATAAAACAATAAAATATTTAGAAAATACATAATATTTTTAAAAATATTTTAGATTTAATTATTCTATCATATGAATTTTAGAAGAAAAAAATATAATAAGATAATTTACATCATAATTAGAAAGCTTAGAGACTAAATCGAGTTAAAAGAAATATCAAATACAAAAGTGATAACCTCATGTGCCAAAATACATTTAATCCCTACGTTCCGGCCTCATTAAATTCTTGGGTAAAGTACACAAATGGTCTTCCGACTATAAGATATTATTTTATTAAGTCTCTGACTATTAAAAATTATAAAATGACCACCTGATTATAAAATGTTACTTTGTTAAGTCCTTAAAAATTATAAAATAGTCACCCAACTGTTCATATGTTCCAAACTTCCATTTTCCGTTAAAAATTTGGCGACAACATGAGTTGAACGTTAATCTTCTAATCGAGATATGATCAAAACTGATCTCATAATCTCAAATGACTATCATATCCCAGTCAGCATATTAACGTCCATCTCAGGCTATCGTTAATTTTTTACGAAAACGAACAAATTTGGAGCATAATGAATAGT